TGACTAATAGACACCTAGCTGTGACGCAATCGGTTCACATGATGGAGCAATGATCAGCAATTGTATGGTTAAAATAGTTTCTTAAGAGAACAAGAAAACCAGTGGTCTGTGACTTATATAGCTCATATCGTCCATTACTGTCGTCAGTCTGGATAACTGATCCTTTGGCCAAAGGAAATCAAGGGCATAAAGTCGTGTTGCTGCCGTCAGATTGCTTCTCTAGAGCGGTAGCCGATGACTCTGGAGATAAGAATTCCTATATATAGTCTTTTTACTTATCTAGGCACTTTGTTAGCTTATTTATCACAGAGCAGATGACTGATATAAGCGTGAAGTCATAATAGCATGAGCATTATAATTGCATAAGACGAGTACAATATGGATTATTACCTTGTTGATGAAAGAAGACTCTATATCATTGTACAGTGTACACTATTCACTGTACAGGTGCGTATAGGAGTACAATGCGTGATAATGTGATTACATAGAACGTAACAAAGAAATAATTCCTGATAACCTGCTGAGAAGCTGCTAGATTAACAGCATAGGTACTCGCTCATCCATCTAAATGGACCTGCAAGCAGCTCCCACGCTATGATTTGCACCTGTTCAGTTCTAATAGATTTGTCAGAGCGCCGATTTTCACATCGCGCAGTAAAACGACAAACAAAATAGCTAAACCTTCTAGTAAGATGTGGTCACAAAAAAAGAGAACAGCGATGGACGGAATTTGAACGCGTGGTGTTCGTTGTCCTTAGCCAATGTGTTTGCACCTAAACCCTCGGCTCCGAATGTTGAAGATTATCGCTGGCTCCACCAATGTAACGACACTTATGTGTAAGCTGGCGGGCTTCAGTTTAGTCAACCATGTTGGTTATACCATCCCATATGTTATTGTCCACCGTTTCTAGCTGCTGCATGAACTAGTCGCTGCTCTGTTTTGGGGTAATATCGAGTTATATGAGAACCGGATCTGTCTTCATTCTGCATCGCATGACCTCAAACGGAGTGCAAGAGACCCGGTGTTATGAAAACTAACACCAGCCGATGCATTATTCTAATTCCGGCGGCTCCATATAGTGGTGGCTCATTGCTTCTGCAACAAGTGGAACATGCAAAACGAATTACCAGCCATCCGTCGTATCCTATGACGTATAAATATTAAATATCAATTCAGCCTGCTACTTATCTTCTGACACAACAATAATCTATCTGCCTTTAAATTAATATTCCTGTTTCTATTGACTGGATTTCATTGGAAAATATGATTTACTTGCCTATGCCTATGCTAATGCCTTTCTCGATGTTTTTAATGGGTTATCGCCCGAATCTTCCATCATTCAATTGGTACTCAACGTTAACTGAAATTCTTCAGATAATCTATTTCTGTCTGTCTGTCTGTCGTCTGTCTGTCTGTCTGTCTGTCTGTCTGTCTGTCTGTCTCTCCGTCTGTCTTCCGTCTGTCCGTCTGTCTGTCCGTCTGTCTGTCCGTCTGTCTGTCGTCCGTCTGTCTGTCTGCCTGTCTGCCTGTCTGCCTGTCTGCCTGTCTGGTCTGTCGTCTGTCTGTCTGTCTGTCTGTCTGTCTCCGTCTGTCTGCCTGCCCGTCAGCTGGCCCTGCAATCGACACATGCCACCTCATACTCGGACAGCCGCCAATCATTGCCCAGCTATCAGAGAGAGGACAATCCCTCACGCCAATTGACGATTATGGTATTAAACGTCACACGCGAGCGAACCAGACTACATATAGTCTGGCTTCCTCATCACTAATACGGAACATGAGCAGAGCCAATAGAAATCTGGTTGCCGTACACATATTTTTGTATAGTTTTGCAGGTGTATGCGACGTTATATTGCAATGTATAAAAGTGCTGTATTAATTTCAGTAGCATATAGCTGTGGTATCTTTGGAATGACATATGGTTTCTATGCACGATTATTCAAACCACTGAATGAAGCGCCGCTCCTTTCCTTGATGTGCAGGTCAGGACGTCAGTAATTAAAAGGAGTGAGGTGGATATGCAAATGTGCAATGTGCAGGGGCGTCGCCACGGATTTTTGACTGGGGGGGACGGATTGGCTGACTAAAACCCAAAAGCTAGTTACCGTACAATTTCAGGCCTATGCACTACTTATAACGCATACACAATACACATGTTCTCATGTTCTCGCGTGGAGGCGTTATTAGTCACATCTTTTCTATCTGTGCATGAATTGGCGGCGCGAAGCGCCGCGAAAATTGGCAAAAACTCTTTGCAAAACAGTCCCAAAAGGCATAAATTTTGCATCCCGAGTAATAAGTTTGATACCAGGACAGTTAGGATCTGGTCACCAAGTCCAGCAGCCCTGCCTCTAAAAAATCGTGTGGTCCTCTGTCAACCATAGGTACAGCTTATTTCCAAGAAGTTTGAAACTCTGTGCAGTGTAGCTGCAGGACCGCGGGGTCGGAGTCGACTTCGGTCGTAGTCGACGGTTTTGGTCGGATACGGAGTTGGAGTCACCAAAGTCGTACCAGACTTCAACTCTGAAGTCAGAGTCAACGTCATCCCGAGGATGGGTCGGATAAAAGCTGGAGATTCTGTTGGCTGTGGTGATTGAAGGCCGGGTCATGGTAAGACCAATGTAGGACCATACTGAGTATTACATCCTCTTGGGCTCTCTAGACCAGGACGAGGTCTCTCACCTCAAGCATCAAGCGTTCAAAGGACATGGTGAGACCTTCTGCTGTCGGATGGCCTTGAACGGGAAGAGGGCCGTTTGAGAGTGAGCTGAAGGTCTTGACTATTACGAATATCCTACATAAAATGTGTGGTCTTTGCAAGCTTGAGACTTTGGGGACAGATCTTCAGCCCTTGTTGAATATGGTCGCCCCTACAACTGGAGCTTTGGCTCCCTATCGAGGACCTGGGACGGACAGTCCAGAGCTGCACCTCGTAGGTAATGTTATCTTTTAACGTGCCAAGAAATGTTCAAAGAGACAAAAGCATCACATCACATGTTTTTCACTCCGATGCGGGCCGAGGGATGCCGTGATCGGAGATGGGGTGGGGACTCCGAGCGATTTTTTAAAAGCCGGAGTCAGAGCTACCAAAATCAATCTACTCCGCAGCCCTGCAAGCAAGTGCAGTGTCAGCAATTCGCATGATTCAATTTGTATACGAGTAGGTATCCGCAATTTCATCCCAAAACGACAATACACCAATTTCGTTGATCATTTTTAATCATTCATGAGGATATTTTTGGGGGGACGTCCCCCCGGATTCCTCGACTGGGGGGGACGCGTCCCCCCCGTCCCCCCGGTTTCGAGCCCATGGCAATGTGCACAACTTGCGTGTAACATAGGCCTGAGCATTGAATACATACCTATGTGATCCAATGGATTTCATAATTGAGACACAAAGCTGCGGTGTGAATTACGAACATCACATCTAATGTGATGTGTTAATGCAAATAATGCAATGCAATGCAATAATGCGAACTAATGCAAATAACAGCGCATGCATATCTGAGTACAAATTTCGCATTCCTGTCTCGAGGAAATCGAGTGAGGGTCCATGATATCACTGGATCTTTTGACAGAACTTGTTTTCGGATACGTGATCCTATTTAATCTCTCGGTGAAATTAGTGATTAATATACGATCCCGCATGATCCCAAAGCCTGGTCTGTGGGATCATCTCATATCTGTTTTTCAGAATAATGCACTGGCGCAATGCACATAGTTATTCGCGCTATACATTACACCAGACGAGATAATAGTAATCTAATCCATGTTCGACTCCTGAATTGTCACTCAAATGTTGATTTTTATCATTAATTTCTATTTACAGATAAAGCCTGATCGTTGAATAGATGTGCGAAATAAGCAGTTATACTTTGAATAAATCATAGCCAAGGCGTATGATTAGATTACCTGCCACGATGTGTATGCATGAGTAGAAACCTGACACGATTACACCTAACGTATTCGTCGTAATGCAATCATCTCACGGGTCTCAGTGGCTCTGCAGTACATATCCCCTGGTAACACTGCCGCCACTAGCCAATAGAACCGCCGCCGGAGGCCGGAACAGGGCCGAACACGGGAAATGATTCAATATGGATCGTACATTGGATTGCCCTGTCTGGAATCGGATCGTCTGCATTTTGTTATCCCTCACTTCTCGTTCCGTGTTCCAATTTTACGGAAAACTACCATCTGTGAGACCGGATGTATCGTACGAGAAGTATAGTGTAGTACAAATTAAAGGTAAATAAAATGGCGGAACACATTTCTGAAGTGTATTTCTTAGAACTTTAGGTGATACTTCAGGTTCTCGTGAAACGCGTAAATATTATCAACTGCTGACATAGGTACTTAGGGAATCAAAACTAAGTGCTATGCTTTCCTTATAATATGCAATTTATTAGAATACAGGATGGTTCGAATAAACATAAATATGTCTTATAATGGTTACAGAGAGACACTTCATTTTCATGTGTGTTTCAGGTCAAAAAGTTTTAATCGTATGACTGAAGCTGTTTGGATCGAGTATATGGGCGATATGTATAAAATGCGCAAATTAAGAATTTCTCTCACGCATCTGTGACTGTGGGTAAATGGCCTGTCGAAGTTACCATGGAGAACAATATTTTTCGATTAAATTGTTTATTGTTTTTCAGAAAGGAATATGTCCAGACATGAGGGCTCTTGTGCTTGTACACTACCCGCAGTTAAATTCTTTTGGGACGGGCTGAAAGAGGCGAGGGCATATTACAGCAGAATAAGCGAGCAAGAGCCGGGCTTCTAAAAGAGCATTCGATTTGTTCTTTAAAATGGCTCAAACTATTTGACTTTGTAATAACTACTAAAGATCCGTCGATCTTTTAACAACAGGCCAACTGCAAATATCTTTAATCTTTTAACAATCGGCAGATAACAAAACATCCGTATCATATGTCCGGACACCAACGATTGACTCGACACCGACCCCGAGATGTGTGCACTTGCAGTGACGCACCTTGTCCGCGCCTCTGAGGGGCTGGAGTCCGCTCCTTCGGCTCGGGTCCCTCTCCGTCGAAGCCCGCCGTCCGCCAGTACCGTCGGATCGCAGCGCCCGTCGCCAGCGCTCCGGACACACTGTGTGGGTCGCCGGCGCCGACGGGCCACCTAGTGCCCCCGACCGACCACCTGGGGCGCCTGCGTCGGCGGAGACGCCGGCGGCGGGGGGGGGGGATATAGATACGGGGAACGGGGAGTTCTTGAGAAAGGAGTGCTTCAGCGAGGGATGCCGACTGCACAGTCCGGACAGCTTCTTCGTGCATGCATGAATGTCTATTGCAGGTTTATGCATTCAGTCAATCATACGAATGTACTTACAAGGCATAGCCCAAATGCTGATGAGTCACCACAAGCGTCAATAGCTAAAGAGAGCCTACCTTAAGTAAACTTATGATTTACGTGGGTCTGCCTCAGGCAAAGGCAATTGCTTACCGGTGACACATCTGGGATATTGTGTTAATTGACTGTTAGACTATTAAGAAATTGGCATTAAGGTGTCAATCGGATACCGATTTTTTTGGTATGCCGATACCAAACCGATACCAACTTGGTATTTGGAATTTCAACCCTTATGTTTTTGGTATTTTGTTGGTATTATGAATCCTCACTAATGTAATAAGAGGCTGTGAATTTGGTAAAAAGTTGGCATTTTCCTGACATTCCCAAGTAGGTTTGGTTTCGGTATTTTCCTATGGTTTGGTTGGTAGTGGGTTTGGTATCGGTATCTTGATTTTCTGTAATTGACATCACTAATTGGCATGTTTCAGCGAAGTTCCATCGAGTTCGCTACGGTTCAGGATGAAACGGGCAAGCTAAGTTTAAAGAGCATGCATATTGCATATTACATATGTTTTCAGTTGATTGACAAGACTTAGGTAAATGATGGTTAAACTCAGCCACTAATTTCTAGGAGATTCAACGGTAACCGAATTCGCACTGAAGCAGGGATGCTCTAAAAGATGAATGTAAAGGGAATATTCAATGTCGATTTCTTGCTAAGACCTTAAAATGTGTTAACTTGTATGAAGATAAAACTTATCCAGAACTAATCTTTCAGCACATATGAGACTCCAATTAAGTGTCATTGCTTCGTTGCTGGAATTAAACCGCTGAAAGAAACATAGAAAATTCATCAAACTTACCAGATATGCGCAAATATCTCAAACTTTTTCTTATGAAATTAAACCAATAGCAAATAGTGGCTCAAAGCAACGTGGCTTCTCAGAAATGAATGAAACTTTTTTTTAGCACAGCAACTGGGCTCAGCAAGGAAATAGTTCATTTTCCTGAAGTTAGTATTTTGCTATGGATTTATGATTTTTTATGCTCAAAATGATCAGAAAATAAAATAAAACCTTTCTGTAAAAACAGCTATTTTCTATATTTTATTACAGGAAGAACTATATTATATGTAGCATGATGTTTTCACGCGGAAGCTTATTATGCGTTGACCAATCACATTGCGTAGTTCAAACCTACGCATGCCGCATTGGCTGTAAGCAGCATGCTGATTGGCTGACGATGACGTGACTGCATTCCTTTCTAAGACACCACCAGACACCACATTCCTGCCTAAGACACTCTTTTTGGAACGGGAAATTGAATATTTTTGCTTAGGGTGATCGTTGGGCCGTAAAAGCTTATGGTTTGTGCTAGTCTAAGTGCAAGCTACAAGACTGCTATTTCAGTTCAAAACCCCATGTTAAAAGTAAACTATTTCCTTTAACAAACTACTGAAAAATACCTTTAGATCTAATGCAGCGCCTACTTGCGCAAAGGCGAACGCTTCTACATATAGCTGTATAATGTATTACATACATAATAGGTAGATCTGCTCATGAGCCAAAATTTAAGAAGCGAACTACGACACTTGTTTTCCTAGCCTCAAACAAGGGCGTCCAAAATAGCTCGGCCATGTAACTATGTGAAAAACAAAACATTTGAATGGTTGTTATTTCTACATTTTGTATCTACCATTTGTATCTACATCTGTATCTACCATTTTGTCGCTTAATTTGCTATTATAGAGAAAAGCGTAGCCCTATTTAGTTCGTAAAAGAGCGAAACACCCACACTCTTCCGCCCGTCTATCTAATTTAAAACCAAAACGCACCAAACGTACTAACTTTGAGACACACGTGAAACATGCTGAACTGAAAGCGAATGAGAAATATGGAAACATGAACGCCATGAGCAAATAGTAACACTTTGTTACAAAACATGACAAACGCATTTCGCTCCATGGATATCCGCCATTTTCCCTCCCGCGCCAGGGCCGGAGACTGCACTGGCCGATCGGAGCATACCACCAGGAGAATGGGCGCCTCGCTGCCGCAGTCCGAACCGAGGCAGGCTTGCGCGACACATGCGGCAATTCTACGGTGTTATACGAGCACAAGCTTCACAACCAGACCGAATCAGACCGGATCAGAACCGTGGAAATAGAGGGAAATGCAATAAGGCCAAGGGTTCCCCAATTAACGGTGAGCAAGCCATCGTAAGAATAGGATCATTTTCATGGCGTGTGCCTGCTGTAGTGTAGTATGTTGCGTCAGATCGTGCTCGTTGTTTGCCAAAACACTGAGCTGGAGCATCGCAAACAGCCGAATTCGTGCGGAGAGACGTCATTCGCCGGTGCCGATGTCACGTTTCGGACATTTGCCGGTCGATCCGCTATTTGTCACTCCTAGCTGTTACCTCGCTCTGTCGGCAGTCCCACGAGGATGAGACCGGGGCAGTGGGAGTATGGTCGTATACGGGGAGCGGTGTGACATTGTGTGTCCGTTACATCTCCAGAAACTGGAGGGCTGTTTGGTATCGATATCCAACGGGCTTGCAAATGATATTACCTACATGCTGGTGATGAAGTTGTACTCACGAAACTGCATGCATGGCAGATGTAGCGGTTTTATTCCCGTTTTCCCATACCTGCTACATTGTATGATTAAATCGAGACATCCAGGCATTTAAACGGCACGTGCACTGTACCACACTTTTCAAAGTTTAATGCAATGCTTTAATACCAGTAAAACGCCTTTTGGGCGAAGAACGAGCGAGCGAGATGGTGAGCCCTGCACGTGCGGAAGGGCGAGAGGGTACTTCCAACGGGCTTGCGCAAAGCACCTTTCTAACCGGTCGCTAGCGGTGTACCAAATTTGAACGCCATCTGCCCAGCCGTTCCTGAGATCTGGAAGCGGCATTCTGCACGTGCGCACGTGCAAACGGGGCCCAAACTGACTTTTGCACGGCACCCTACTAACTGGTCCCCAACCGTGTACCAAATTTGAGCGCAATCGGCCCAGCCGTTCTCGAGATCTGGAAGCGCCCCCTGCACGTGCGCACGTGCAGTTGCACCTTAACCGCAACACATGGGAATGCATTATCTGGTGGGTGGGTGCCTACCTGTATGCCAAGTTTCAGCAAAATCGCCCCAGTAATTACCGAGTTATTAAAATGGGAACAAATTTGACACCTCTTATTGTTGTATTTTGCACGTGCACTGGGGGTGACCCACATGCATCGAGAGTATCCTATTTTTGGTAGAAGGGATGCTGCTACCCTACAAAAATTACCGCAAGCCAATCGCCCAAGCGGCTGCTGAGATATGAGCCTCTCAAAATCACTACTTTTGCAAAACAGCTTGAACACCCTTGACTTTTCACGTGGCACGTGCCACGACGGTCACTGAGATGTATCAAAAGTAGTCAATTACAGGGTAGAAGGGATGGGGCTACCCAACAAAAAAGACCGCAGGCCAATCGGTCCAGCGGTTGCTGAGATATAAGCCTCTCAAAAGCGTTACAGGCCGGGCCGGGACGGGCCGGGCCGGGCCGCTCATACTGAGATTTTTCCGTTATATTGAAAAGACTCACTTCGCTCGCTGCGCTCGCTCGCTCGATTACCAGCCAGCCGTGTGGTTCAAGGGGTGAGGTTCAACATGTTGAACCACACGGCTGCTGACGTCACTATCATATAGTTATGAGCTTTTGGCAGGTATGGGAAACACCTTCCAGCCCTAAGGCCGGGAATTCAATAAATGTCACCTCGCTTTTTTTAGCAAAATCACCTCGGGCCTATAACGGCCCTCGGAGTTTTCGCTAAAAAAACCTCGGTGACATTTATTGAATCATCCCGGCCCCGGGCAGGAATATATTCAACCTGCTACTTACAGTGCGGTTATTTTTGGTTGAGCATTGATCAATACATTCCCATTGCGAACTCCAGATTCCTTTTCTCTCCGCGATGCGAGGCGGAGCGCTGTCCCGTACCTACGAACTCTCACTTTCACCATCCGGTGGCCAGATAACGCCATCTCACTTCCTGGGAGAGGTCGAGATGACAGGGACACGGATGATACACGAATGACGCTTCTATATGCACTCGGTTATAAGTGATCTACACATTACATACATATCCATGTTTTATGCTATAGTTTTGTTTATTCATTAGCATATTTTTAACATCTCACCAAAATGTCCCAAATAGGTAAGAATATTATTTCCGGAGTCGGCATTCTGACGCGAGACTCGGCCCGCTTGCTCAGTTTGCCTCCCGGTAAGGTATGCGAGTGTGCAGTATATAGGCACACCCATAACCCTATCCCAGTCCTACCCTGATAGCTCGGCATGCAGGCCGCCATCTTCCTGTGCAGACTCCTGCCCACACTGATCACACCGGCCGTCTCCAGCGTTACCTGTCCAGGCCCCTGCCGCCTGGCGCCGCCATTTCACTTTCAAGGGCGGTCGCCGGTGTGGGCTGCTGGTGGCTCACCTGTTAGACAGGGACGCCTGGGCGGTGGCAGCGGTGGGGCAGTGTCTTAGTGGTGCCGGTGACGTGAATAGGGTGCCCGCAGCGGGGTGCGTGGGGGTGTTTGGGGGTGACAGGTGGCGGAGGAGGGCCCTGAACGGATCAGCTGACAGCAGGACAGCGGTGGTCATCGCCAGGAGTCGCAGCAGCTGATCGCCTGCTGCAGCCTCCGTCAAGGTAATGGCAGCACACAGAGGGCAGAGGCGAGTAGGTGACAGCTGTGCGAATATCGC